AGGAATTGTGGGGGGCTTCTATGACGTGGAAAGGGGGTCTGAGAATGGTGAGAGGGGGTTGCGAGGGGGAAGAGAGGAGAACAAGGCTTCTGTGAGTGAAAAGGGGGCCTGGGGATGGAGAGGTACATTGTGGAGGGGAACTTGAGGGGTTGAAAGGGGAAAAGGGGGCTTTTGTAGGGCAGGAAGGGCGGTCACGGAGTGGACAGGGAGTTATGTGGGGGGAAAAAAGGAGTGAGTTGGGTCTTTATTGGGAGGAAAGGGGGTCTGGGAGTAGAGAGAGGGTGGCAGAGGAAATCTGGAGGGTTGTGGGGGGCTTCTATGGGGTGGGAGTCTGGGGGAGACCTTAGGGTAGTATTGGGGGGGAGAAGAGGAGAGTGGGATGTCTATGGGGTCGAAAAAGAGTCTGGGGGGAAACTTAGTGGATTGTGGGGGGAAAGGGGTGAACAGAGTCTCTACAAGGCAGGAAGAGTATCTGGGGGTGGAGGGAGGGTGGGAGGGAAGAGCCAGGGGTTGTGGAGGCTTCTATTGGGCAGAAAAGGGGTCTGGTTGGGGGGGGATTGGAGCTCAAAATGGGGGAACTGACTCCAGGGGTCAGTGAGGAGAACACAGGGGGGTACAGGGGACTCTAGGGGTCAGAAAAAGGGGCCAGGAGGTGGGAGGAGAAGGGAGGATACGGGACCCTGGGGGTCAAATAGAGGGGAATGGGGGTGGGAGGAGACTCTAGGGATCAGAATGGGGGATTTGGAGTGGGGGCAGTTGATGGGAGGAGGGGATTCTGGGGGTCGGATAGAGAGGACTGGAAATGGGGGAGGACTCTAGGGGACAGAATGGGGAGACTGGTGGGGGGACACTTGGGATCAGAACGGGGCACTGGGGAGGGATGAGGGAGTGGGGGGGGGACGATGACCCTGGGGATCGGAATGGGGGAGGCACAGAGGGGAGGGGTGGAAGAGGACTGCAGCGATCAGAATGGGGGAACTGGAGGGGAGGGGACCGGGGGGAGGGCGTAACCCCGGGGTCACACAGAGGGACCGGGGGGTGCGGGCCATCAGCGGCAGGGGAGAGAGGGGGGGAGGCGCGGAGACGCGGGGCAGCCGACCCCGCCGAGCGGAAGCCGCGAGCACTGCAGAGACCCGGCGGGGACAACGCAGAGCGGCAGCGGCCTCCCGGCACCTGAACCCCGGCGCCCCCCGAATGCCCACCTGTAGAAGCCGGGGCGGCGCTCGGAGCCCCGGACTCCCCCGCGCCACTTCCGCACGGCCGCCTCCTCGGGTCGCAGGATGATGACGTCACGCGCCATGGAGACTCCGCCACGTCGCCGCGGGGACGGCTGCACGCCTGCAATGATGGAGAGGCGTGGGGTGCGGGACGTGGGGTGCGGGGCACGGAGCTGGGGACCCTGCCAGCCTTAGGGGTGGCCTCTGCCAGGCAGGGACAGACACGAGTGGTCTCTGCTGAGCGTGGGGACGAGGACACGGCCACAGAGCGTAGCTTTGCTGAGGGCTTTATTGATCTCTGGAGGATGTCGGAGATCATCAGGGTCTTCACTTCCTTCAATAGACTCCATGGGTCAGCAGAGGATGTCAAAAGCTGCCACTGACCGAGGAGAAGCCTCGTCCCAGCAGGGTTTGTGCCCCAGGACTTTGGGCAGGAGAGGGGCTGGCAGCAGCCCAGGGCAGGACGTTGGCCCCTGGAGGCAGCAGCCACAGCCCCTGTCCCATCTGCACAGTGACCCTGGGCCATCCCTAGGGCACCTCAAGACCCTCCTCCTCGGCACAGCCCCACAAAGCATGAGGGAAGCTGTGGGGTGGCAATGGGCCCCCTGGAACGGGGCAGGGATGGTGCCCTCATCCCATCCATCCACAGATCTCGGGGCTCCAGAGATCCCCAAGGTCCCTCAGTGTCCCTGTTCCAGTGCCACCCTTATTTCACAGTCTTCTTCCTTATGTGCAATCTAAAGACTCCTTATGTCCTTCCTGATGTCCAGTCTAAAGGTGAAGAGGAAAGATTGTGAGGGGGTTTCCCCAGTGAGAAGTACAATTTCAGAAAGGGGCACGTGCAGAGAACCCAGAGGGAAAGCAAGGCAAACCTCACAATGACTGCCACAAAACCAGTGCTACAAAGAGAGAATTCACTGCCTTTTCTTCTTCTTCTCTTTCTCTTCTTCTTTTCTTTCTTTTCTTCTCTTTCCTCCTTCCTTCCTTCCTTCCTTTTCCAGCTGACTGATGGCTGCTTTATTTGTGGCCACAGCTCCTGAGGAGCGCTGAGAGCTGGGAGGAAACAGGGGAATGTTGCACCCCCTGCAGGATCCTGAAAATCAGTGACGCAGGGCAGGTGCTGGGAGGGGCTGCAGGGTGCAATGCTGGCAGCCGAGCTCTGCTTCTGGTAGCAGGATGGACTGCGCCTCTGATAAGGTGACTGCAATCACAGTGAGCAGTGGCAGCAGGCACACCAGGTTTGCAGCACTGCCTTCCTCCCATCTCTCTCCACTTTCAGATTCTCGATCCAGCCCACAGAGCCAAAAGAAATGGAGGGGGAAGAAAATGTGCTAATAGTTCTTGCTTGGTTCCTATTGCAGAGCAAACGATTGCCTGCTGCTCAGAGCAGGACGGCGCCTGCTGTCTGCTGAACCTTACGCAGGAGCGCTGGTGCTTTTGCATCATGCACTCCCACCCTTGTCCCCTGCCCGAGACGGGACGTAGGGCACCCACAGCCTCTGGGCACCCTGCGCCAGGGCCTCGCTGCGTTTGGGAGAGGAATTTCCTCTGCACATCTACCTCAATTTCCACTCTTTGAGTTTAAAGCCATTCCCACTCGTATTATCGCCGTCTGCCAATGCCAAGTGGCACACAAGGTCTGGCAGCGGGTCAGGTAATGACGCGACAACAGCACGTGGACAGCTGTGGTGTTATTTTCTGTTTATTGGTACTGAGGAGGCTGGTAATCTCAGGTACATGACAGCAGTGGTTCTGTGGATGTCAGTGTCTGTAAACCCACATGCTGGGAGTGCTCTCACCTCCTGATGGAGAGCGGAGAGGAGCGGTAGGGCAGATGCAGTGCTGGGGTGTGCTGGAGGCTGCTGGACCAGGTCTGTTTCCCCCTGGCAGTGGTATTCCACTTATCTAATGAAGCCCCTGAGCTGACACCCCGGGGGGGCCACTCCCACCGCCTGAAAGATGCTTGAGGGGAGGGAGAGGATGGAGCTCGGGGCGGCTGTGGGCTGCTGATCCGCTCACGCTTCCCCCAGGCCGCAGTTGTCGGTCTGTTGGATAATTCCCCCTGGCGAAGACCCTGGGGGGGCTGCTCCCACCTCCTAAAGGATGGTGGAAAGGAGGGGGAGGGCAGCATGGAGGCCTGGGGGGACCTGGGGCGGCCAGGCCTGTCATGCTGGGGCAGCCACTGCTGTCCCTTGAAAAATGGTGGAGAGGAGCGGAAGGGCAGTGGGGGTGCCTGAGGGGGCCACTCCCGTCCCCTGAAGGATGGTGGAGGGGAACGGGAGGCTGGTGACAGTGCCTGGGGAGGCCGGGGGCTGCTGGGCTGGTCCTGCTTCCCCCTGGCAGCGGCTGTCCTGTCAGACTGTTTCCCCGAGCCTGCACTCTGCACAGATCGCTTCCACTCCCTGATGGATGATGGAGGGAATGGGGATGGCAGAGGTGACACTGGGGGGGGCTGGGGGCTGCCGGGCCTGGTCTGTTTCCCCCTGGCAGTGGTTTTCCAGGGGTGTGATGATGCCCCCGAGCTGACACCCTGGGGGCGCTGCTCCCACCTCCTAAAGGATGGTGGAGAGGAGCGGAAGGGCAGTGGGGGTGCCTGAGGGGGCCACTCCCGTCCCCTGAAGGATGGTGGTGGGGAACAGGAGGCTGGTGACGGTGCCTGGGGAGGCCGGGGGCTGCTGGGCCGGTCCTGCTTCCCCCTGGCAGCGGCTGTCCTGTCCGACTGTTTCTCCGAGCCTGCACTCTGCACAGATCGCCTCCATTCCCTGACAGGTGATGGAGGGAACGGGGATGGCAGAGGTGGTGCTGGGGGGGGCTGGGGGCTGCCGGGCCTGGTCTGTTTCCCCCTGGCAGTGGTTTTCCAGGGGTGTGATGATGCCCCCAAGCTGACACCCTGGGGGCGCTGCTCCCACCTCCTAAAGGATGGTGGAGAGGAGGGGGAGGGCAGTGGCAGTGCTGGGGGGGGCTGGGGGCTGCCAGGCCTCTCAGACTTCCCCGAGGCAGCAGTTATCCAGGTGCTGGATGATGCCCGCGAGCCGACACGCTGAGGGGACCGCTCCTGTCCCCTGAAGGATGGTGGTGGGGGATGGGGGGGCGGCGTTGATGCCCGCTGCGGCCGGGGGCTGCTGGGCCTGTCGCTCTTCTGCCGGGGAGCAATTGTTTCGCTGCTGGCCGATGACCGCAAGCCTCCACCCCGGGCGGGTTCCTTCTGTCCCTTGAAGGATGGTGGAGGAGGACGGGGGGGCGGCGTTGATGCCCGCTGTGGCTGGGGGCTGCTGGGCCTGTCGCTCATCCCCCGCGATGCGGAGCCCGAGCTGGGGGGCGGCGGGGGTCGAGGCGGGGCTAGCTGAGCCCGGCGGCTGTTCAGCCTGGCAGGGGCCGCTCTGCTGGTGCCCTGCGGCTGGTGGGCAGGTTGTTCCCGCACAGATGGTTGGTGGTTTGTCCGTCCATCGGGCCACTCGAGGTCAGCAGACTCCTCCTCTGACTGCGAGCTGTAGCTGCTGCTATCGTCCTGCGCTCCATCAGCTGCAGCGAGGCGCCTGTGGAGAGAGGAACGTGCTGAGGGCGCAGCAGAGCCCCTGCTCTCCTTCCTCAATGGCAAAGAGCCGCCCTCGGCTCTCAGCCCATCTCAGGCCCAGCACTAAGAACTGGCTGCAGGAATGGCCGCGCCATTCCAACATCTGACAGCACTGATCTCAGACCATGGTAGCCAACGGCTGACCGGCCTCTCTGTGCTGCTTTAACTAGAAATGCCTCCTGGCTCACGGCAGACCTGCAGTAAGAGTTGGGCGGGATGTGGGTGGGGGTGAACAACAACTCACTGCTTTCTCTTCCTGCACCACCAGAAAAGAAGACAGCACAGAATCATCGCTAGCAACAGGGAAACCGAGACAGATATGGCAAGTTCCAGGTACAACTTCCGTGCATCTTTAACTTGCTCGGCGTTTGCACGTCCTTCATCATCCACACCTGGAAGAATAAAGTGGTTGTTGCTGTGTCTTGTGCCATACCGGCAATCTCGCAGGAGGTCTGACACGGCCACAAAATGCTCTTTTCATGTTGTTGGCCTCCTGGAACAAGTGAAAATCCTCAGGCTGCAATGCTTTCCCTGATTCCAGGGGAAGCAAAGGGAACTCCCAAAGGCGCACTCTGGAGAAGGGAACTCACATCAAC